ATTAACGAATTTGAGATCAGCAGACTACTCAAATTCTTTTGTGTAATTTCCCAAAGTAATGGAAAAAAAAATTCTAAGCTATCTACCCACAATAACTTTCGCCACGATCACAAAACAATTCCAAATCGAACTTAAGATGTATCAGGAAGGTGACATGTCCGATGTTTACTCTGGCATTTACTACACATCCACAGGGTGTGTAGTAAAGCAACTCCATCAGTCCGCAGTGTACTTGGGTATTTCTGCAATTACCCTACCACCCTTAATTAAAAATAAATGCAACCTCAGTTGAAATTCTAAATGCTAATACGATGGTCTGGCATGTTCTCTTTGAACCCGATAAAATGTACGGAAAAGCCAAGTGGATTGAGGATCTTTTTTGTAGAGAAGACAGGAAGGGAGGTAAGATAAAGAAAGTTAGGGAAAAAATTGCTAAAAGAAGGGAAGCGAAGATAACTGGATTCGAGGCAACTCTCGGTCTCCAGGGGAAACTATTTAAAAAAGAGAGAGGTGGGCTGGCCAGGAGTCATCCCTCTCTCCAAGCAGGTCCGAAGCTGAGCCTCATGTGTCTCAGCTCGGGTTCACACCGCGCCTTCCTCCATGCCCGGGCAAACTGTGTTCAGGAGCAGATGCACCTGCCGGGGACAGAGGGCGAAGGGCACGGAGCCCACTCCCGTGTACAGTTCAGGGAAGACGGGCAGGCCCAACCAACCAGGTGGTGACCACCGCTGCGCAAAGCCAGGGCGCGGCGACCTTCCCCGCCCCGCACCCTCCCTGGCTGATGCAACCCACACAGGTCTGCGGCCTCGGCCCCTTACCCAGAGGAGGGTCTCCCGAATTCACAGTCAGACAGAGCGTCGCCATCGCCACCAGTCGGCTGGTTTGTCAGTCTGCCTGGCGGGCGCCCGCACCACGCAGCACCGGCTCGAAGCAAGAGAATGCAACGTGTGCGCGTGCCCGACGCCGCCGCAGCCTTCGCCCCGCCCCTGCGCCGCGGCCACTGCCGTCACCGCGCACGCCACGGTGCGTCATCGCTGAGCGCCGCCGTCGCCTCTCCCCCGACCCCCGCGGGCTCCAGAGCCTTCTACCCCCACTCTTGGCCGCCGGAGCCTGGAGGGCTTACGTGGCGTTCCACGCTGTCGTGGGAAAGACGCTGAAGTGGAAAGGACTTTACGACACTTCGTAAAAGACAAAAAGCAGATTGTAAAACCAGCCTTACGCTTGGGTGTGAAGCATGAAACAAAACACGCGCTTGTGTGTACGTAGGCATACAGAAAGAGTCCTGGAAGCGTGCAGACGCTAGCCATGATTACATTGGAGGTGGAGGAAGCTTTTCTAACGTTTCCACCTTCTTTACGCAAAAGAGGAACGTACTTGTTAAAAAATAATTGAAAATTCTCTAATTGTTTATTATATATATATTATTTACCGTATATACAATAGTTCTCACAGATACAGTTCTTTACCTTTGGCTGTACATCCTTCTTACAGAAGACAGTGGGTGAGGTGACTGTAATTGTAAAAGTTGCCATGACATTTGCCGTGTTATTAGCAGTTGCCAAAAAAGAGAAAGGCGATTGTGGTTAATTTTCTGTATAACATTTTTGGAAAGCACTACTAAAAAGTTTATGTGCTTTGCACTTTCAAAATATCTTTAGTGAACTCGTATTTTTAAAAT